TTGCTCAATGAGGTTCTTGGCGGTTACTCGAACGGCAGCCATAGTTCGAACTTCTTTTTGTATCCAGTTTAATTCAAATGGTTCCAAAGCGTTTTGTGTGCAATTTTTAGCTCTTGGGCAATCGAAATAGTGCTTACATCACGATCGGCCTCGACTATTGCAATAATTTTATTGACATTTTCGACAATTGACCTTTGACTGTTGGTGAAAAGCTTCGTAAGCAAAAATTGCAATAGAAAGCAATAGACTTAAACCCATTAAAATTACTTTTTAGAAGTGGATATGTAAACACTGACAACCACAGTCATTTTTTACATATCCACAACCAAACACTGAATGGCAGAAAGGAGATCAACAGGAAGAGTCATCATGAAAGAGTCATGGGATTGAGGTTGACGTAAACTTATAAACTACTAGGAACTACAAATAAACTGAATGTTCGCGCTCAATTTAAAAGCAAGATCTGTGAACATCCTATTTCTCAAGCAGAGTAGTTGGAAGAGGTTAATTTGGGATGTGCGAAAAGGATCCCAATTCCTGGCGAAATATTTCCTAGCAAGTGAGTGTGGGTACTCAAATATTTAAGTAACTTTAGCACATATATTATATATTATCAGTTTTAAATGCTGTTTTTAAATGCATATTTAAATGTTATATATAATTGTATCTTTTGTTTTGTTTATGTTTATCTAATTTTTACTCTTTCGCACGCGTTATTCAAAAATATATATTTTTAATTTATATTCACATTAAATGTAAAGTACAATCTATGCAATTAATTCATTTAAATCATTTATTATTCAATATAAACACATTTATTTTTAATTAACTAGTTGGTGTGAATTACCCTTCATATGAATACATAATTTAAATCTATTATTGTAATTCATTTTAATTGTTAATACAATTCAATTTAAAATAAAACTAATTTGTTTAATTATATTAAACTGTTTTATTACCCATATTAAACTAACCCATTTAATTATTAAATATTTATGGTTACATCTCTTAACCTTCAATGTAATTATTTGTACTAAATAATTAATAATTACTTATTTGATCTTCACAACTTCTATTAATAATCAGTACAAATTAAATAATAAACAATAGCCAATGTCATCATTATAATCTCTAATGTACATTAAGTGTAGTTGTTAATATATAACTTAAATAAAGTAATCATGTCATTTAAATATAAACAATTCAATTAGTTTAATAAGCAAAATATTTTTTTAAATTAATTTAATCATTTTCTTTGTGTTTACTTAAATTACTTTGTTGTAATAATTTTTTTTTTACTAGAATTTTTACGGAGGTTTGAAATAGTAGTGAATTACAACAAAAATTTTTTTTTATTTCAAATCATTGAATTTTTGGCTAACCAAACAGCTGTGTCGAGTATTGCCATATACCTAGTATTTCTGGGTATTTAGTATTCTTGCAAATACCCTAGTATTCTTACTAAAACCTGACTACATTAGATATTAAATTATTAAGTTAAAGTTATATATATAAATTATGTACATATAAACATTCTTTTGTATTGATTAGAATTTCTGAAATTATCGAAAGATCTTATAATAATCTTTCATTACATATGTGGAATATGATATGCGGAACTTGGAAGGAGCTACTCTAACGACTGTTACTAAACTAACTCCACGTACGACGGTTTCGAAATTATTTAATAAATTTATTTAATTTATTGAAATTTGGCTGACCATACAACGCGGATATTGCCAAATACTTATCATCAGTGATATATTCGAATTTTTTATTTAATAAGTTTATAGTCCGTATATAATTTGTTTGGACTACAAGTGACAGTACTTCAATTATTAAGCCATATAATCTTCCAAATGAAGTTAATTATAACCTTTTGCTATCCTTACCACACCGAAAATACAGGATAAAATATCTATTTTAAAAACTTTTTCTTTAATAGAATTTTGATCTTCTATTCTTGTGATTTGATCATATGAACAATGGACTATTCTTTTAATGATGCTTAACTCTTTAAAGTAATGTAAAAAAGTAATGAAATACAAAATATTCAATATTTTTATTACTTTATTATATAAAATTTATGAATTAAAATAATATTATTCCAATAAAATCATTAACTTATTGCGATGTTATTTAAAGACCAATTAGGTGTAGAAATAATTTCATTATATATGGTATAATATACCTTAAGATTCAGCATTTCTTACTTACTTAACCTAATAGATTAATTTATTTGCTCTTTAACATAACTACTGTCACTACAACTTATCAAGTTAATAGAAAAAATAAAAAATATTTAAGTAATTTATATAAATATATAAATAAGACAATTTTTTTAATACCTTTGAGTGATTAATTTGTCAATCAAGTCGCAAGTCGAAATAAATCACTTGCACACGTTTTTCTTATCCAACCAAACCAAGATTTATGGCAATGATTAATTATAAAAGTGAAGCAATTGCTTTTTTATTGAAATAAAAATAAAAAGTTTTCTTAAAAGAACTCAAATGGATAATATATTAATTATGTACATACAATATATGAAATTTAATTATAAATCTTAATTATTAATAATTGCTGTTAATTAATATTACATTTCGAAAATTTAGAAATATTATCTGTTACTCAAAAAATTGCATTTATTTTGGGTTAAAATTGATGAGATATCGACTGAAGATATTAAAAATATGTCAATGGGTTAGTATCAAAATTGGGCTCCACTTCATGAATATTTTCGTTCCATGGACAAAGTGTAATAATTTCCTGCATATCTGTTATTCAAGGTTTAAAGACATACATACACGTACAAAGTGCTTGAACTTCATTCCAGCTACTGATTAAAGATATTTTAATGCTGTGAACAATACTTACTTAAATTTGTTAGAACTATAATAACATAGAAAAACACGTTCTAAATCAAACTAGTGAATGAACATTATTGTGATAATCTGGTAGTTAAAACACAAATGACGCATAAGGTGTAAGTACATGTGTACACATACTACCAATATTGCGTCTGTAACATACTTCCCGAACTACTATACATGAGTTCTTAAAAAAGGATTGATAAATTGATAGCATTACACGACCAAACCATTCAGGATATAATGCTATGTTTTACAATTACCATTACGTGTTAAATACACCATCATTCAAGTATTCTCAACAGAAAATTTGGTATAAATGATTTCTCAGGACACAGCTAACAGCAACTCTTCCATACCTAATCGGATGTACCTTCTGAAAGTGTAGCAAGATTGTCCACATAAACATATCTCATGAACTCACAAAATCACCTAAGGTCTACCAAAATTCCATGATCTTGGTAGCCGAATCCTATGACCTCCGAGAAACTTCTCATACAAGAAAACCGAATCAGTTCGCGTTCCAAAAATTTAAAATTCAAGTTTATTCTTGATAATTGATATTCTTGCCTTCAAAGTACTATCCATTAAGTAAAACAAATTTATGCGAGCACTTGATCCAATACTCAAAACATTTGATTTTTTATTATAACTTCTCGTCGACTAGACATATTCTCCAAAGTGGGTTTTTGTGTCCTACAATAGATAAGAAACTACAGTCAAAAACTCACGGCTAAAGAAAGCAAAGAAAGTGCATTATCGTGATGCAACATCTATTAATTGTTTACTCATAAATCCGGTCGTACAAACGTTATATAACGCCAAGTAATAATCTTTGTTGATTCGCTGATTTTCTCGGAAGAATTTATAATGCACGACACTGTTGTAGTCCTTGAAAGCCGTGAACATGACCGTTTTCTGAAAACGGCTACATATTTTTTGGTCTTACCACGTCTAGTGGTTGGATTATAAGTCACACATACAAACATAGGTACATATTTAGAGACTAGGCACATAATATATTTAAGGCTTATTTAAACAATTTAAAATTATTTTAAATTTTAGGTCAAATTAATATAATTTTAAGAATCAAATAGTTCAAAAACGACCACAACATAAAACGTCGTATATACATATATATCGAATTTATATTATATAATTTACAAATGCTTTCTAGTAATTGCGCAGACGACCATTGCTCTGAGCTCGCTAAAAGATTTACTTGGTTCGCCTGTGACAGTTCTGCGCCAAGTATTTTTCAGCTTGCGTCTTCCTCGCCGGTCGTATGGGTTCCACTGTAACACTGTGTGTGGTATTTCGTTTGAACTCTTCCTGAGCGTATGGCCAAACCATCCACATTTGCGTTTGTTGATTTCCTTTATGATGCTTCGCGGCCACCTGATTTTTAAAATATGTCTTAGACTTCTATTGATGAAGGACTGCAGCTTATGTATAATAGTGCATGAAGTGTGCCAGGTCTCACAAACGAATAGCAAGATTAATTTAATACACGCATTAAATATTTCTAGTTTTGTTTGCCGCGTAATGATTGTACACTTCCAGATCGATTTGAGTCTGCCGATGCGGAGCGCGCCTTTCGTATCCTATAGTCGACGTCTACCGATGTTCCGCCATCTTCAGAGATTTGACTGCCGAGGTATTCAAACCTGGCCACATCTGCAATATCGGTGCGTAGTACTGTGCTACTATTTGAATTTATTCTCACTGATGCGTCTTTTAACAGTTTATTACTAAGCTAACCTTCTTGGCCTCGTTTTCTAACAAAGTAAGTTTATGTCGCATATCGCTATGACGATTTGACAGTAAAACATCGTCCCAGATAATTATTTACCAAATTATTTAAAAATCTGCCTCGGATAAATCAATAAAAATATATTAAAGAAATAAAAAATAATAATAATTAAAAATATACATTAATGTTCATTTAAAATTTTATTTAGAATTGTGGAAATTATAAGAGTACAAAATTGAGCATTATAAACGTAAAGAAAAATAAAAGTTATTTTTAATAAAAACTAAAATATTGAACTACAATAAAATATAAAATATTGTGAAGTAATCTTTATTGAAATTTAAAAAAAAAATTAAATCTAATTTTAATTAACAGAGCAATAAGTTTTTACAAGAAAAATAATAATAGAAATAATATAGAAAGTGTCCTGATTACTATAGCAAAGTCCTTTTCTTCATCAGTTTTCCAAAACGAAAATATCAAGTCGCCAACCTGACAAATTTATTCCATAGTTAACTAAAACAAAACATTTATCCCAAATCAAGAACCTTTAGCAATATATTTGAGTCCGAATTATAATGGAGAAGAAATAAGAGAAAAGTAAGAATGAGAATAAATTTTTGTAGGTTAATTAAGCGGGCACACGCCTTGCCAAATTTCACCGAATATATGATTTGGTGTTATTCTCATGGCCTTTTTATTAACTTTAACATTTCGTATGCAACCCTTGAAAGTCTTCTTAGTTTTCAGACCCGGTGCTTTATTGAATGCTTGATGACCACCCAGGAACAATGGGCGATTAGTTTTTGTATTTATTGAGCCTTCAGTACCAACTCCTGGAGTATTATTGATATAATCGACAGCTATTGTGATGACATATTTTGATTTGACTGCATTGACATTACGCCAATTGCCATCACAATAACTGCCATTATCTGGCAATGTATAATTCGTAAAAATAATATTTTTACCGTCCGATTTAACAGTAAACCATAGAATATTATCCATTAACTCCAATATCATGTATGCATTTCTACCATGCACAGAGAATATCAAACCGTCTGGCTCGCGTGGTCTAAAATCGAATTCGAAATTAAAGTCTGAACCAACAGTAAAGCGTTCAAACAATTTGATGTAACCAGTTGGCTTGTTGAAGAAGAAACCATCTTCAACTTCATCTGAACATGGTACAACATGATGTGGCATTGGTTCTTTTTCCAAAGTTGCGCCATTGAACTTAATGTCACGCATGCAACCATTAAAGTGCGTAGTGTTAGCACTGCTTTCAATATTAAGATGTACACTTTCTTCTTGGAACTTAGGTACACCACCGAGATAGATTGGGAATTCAACCATCATTGCACGTTCATCAGCTTCCACCGAAGGTTCTTGTTCTACTTCATCTATTATAAGACTTAATTTGCGGTTTGTACGCACAAACTGGACTGTATGCCACTTGCCATCGTTCAATTCTTGCTCACTGGACAAGTTAGCGAATTTTTGGCCAACGCGCAACTGATGGTAGATCTTACCGTCCAATAAATATACAGCAAAGTAATCATTATGCCGCTTGTCGCTTGCATAGAAGAGCAAACCATATGGATAGTCAGTACGGAATGTAATGCTAACATCATAATGTTTACGTAATTTAGCGGGCAGTGTATGTATTTCAAGACGTTGTTCTCGTGTAGCGACAAATCTGTAACCGGCTTCCGAGAAATCTTTATCGAAGTTTGGATTAGTTGGCAGTTTACAACGAGGATCTTCTGGCATATTCTGATGAATTATCGGTTTTGGTTTACTTGTAACAGCTGGTTTCGGTATTATTTCGGCGAACTCTTCTGGTCTTTCCTCTGCTTTGATTGGGGGACTGGATGTAGTAGTTGTGGTCGTTGTTGTTGTGGTCGTTGTTGTAGTAGTAGTTGTTGTTGTTGTAGTTGCTGGTAAGAATGATGCTGTAGGTGTTGTAGCTTTTGTTGGCATAATAGTAGTGGGTGCTGGTTTAGTCCATTGAGTTGTAATTGGTGCAAGTGGAACTTTGGGTACAAGCTCATTTTCACCACGTGGGAAATATACTGGCACTTTTGATGTATCATAAGCTGAAAAAAATTTAAGAAATATTCACTGTTTTATATATAAAATTATTATAAAATCGCATACCCAAAATGTCACTGGGGCAGTTATTAATATTGCCATTCTTTTTCTCAGTACTATCAGCAAAGTTTATTATTTCTCCATTTATTGTAACATCGCTTATGCAACCAACGAAATAGGCTGAAGTGGATAACGCACGTGGAGGTACTATGAAATTATCCGGTAGGCCACCAAAGAATATATCTCCGTTATTGATCAATAATGGATTTGGTGTAATTGATGTGCTAAAATATACAAAAATATTTTTAAATATATATTCTATGAAATATAAAATATAATAAACATTTTAAAAATTTGAAATATAGAAATAAAATAATAAAATATAATATATATATATTACATCAACATATATATAAAGCAACACAAAATAAAATAAAAGAAATCCCACTTACCGTTTGTCTTCCACATCATCGATTGATAGCCTCAAATGATTTTCATCATGACGTACAGTAACCACATGTTCCTCTCCGTCATTTAGATTATTCATATCAGACATAAGTTCGGTACCCATACTATTCAATATTAACGCGCCATTATTCAAAGTCAACCCAATTGTAGAACTTTGATCATGATTGGCAGTATAGAATAGCACACCATCGCGTTGTCTTGTTTTAAATTTCAAATTAATATTGAAATTGTTTCGAGAAGTCACATTTGTTGTAGACAAATAACCATATTCATTCGGCGGGAAAGCTAAAGTTGTTGAATACTTGGGTGGACAACCCTGCTTCACGTCAACAGCATTTATATTTTGGCCCAAATCCACCTTAATGCCAGCAATGCTCACATCATCTATACAACCATCGAAGTTTTGTTCCACAATAGCGGAATGATTGCGTTTACCAGGATAACCTCCAAAGAACATACGTCTAATTGCCGGCATATTTTCTTCAGCTTCTGGAGGAGCTTCTTCCTGGGCAATTATAACATCGTCCACTTTCAATAAACCTCGACGTCCATCACGCTCGGCCACTACACGATGCCATTCATTATCATTGTAACGATCATTGCTACCAGTGGAAACCATATGTTCGCCCAACTTATACCGGAAGTACACACCACCATTAACTAATTCTATAGACATAAAGTGGTTGCCTCGCCCATAGAAGAACATAAGGCCATCTTTAGCATCCTTAGCTGCTTTAAAACTGAACTGTACGCTTGAACGAGATTTGAAATTATACTGTGTTGCTTTCAGTGACACAAATCCATTGCCGCTGAAACGATAACCAGTCGGTGGTATATCCTCGCTAACTAATTTATTGCGTTTATTTGCACCCAAATTATTATCCTCACCATAAACGAAGTTCCATAATCCAACATTTTCGTCACCTATGCGTAAATCTTCAATTTCTCCCACAAACGAACTGGAATGTATATCTTCCGGTGGCGTAAAATCTGCCGGCGGTGGATAGCCTCCAACAAACAAGCGACTATTGCGATCAACGTTAAAGACATTGTTAGGACCTAATAATTCACCTTCACTGGTGTGGTCTAACACAGTGCCATTAGCCAACTGTTCCCGTATTATCAGTTTAGCATTTGATCCAGTACGATCTACTACTACTTGATACCAATCGCCATCGGCAACATATTTATTATTCGTTATACGTTCGGGTCCGTTGCCTAAATCAATTGTTAGTATTGGATAACCATTGACAATTTCGATAGCCATAAAGTCGTTATTCTTTTTGGCAGGTGCCGTGCTAGCAGCTGTTTTGTTATCGTTACCCAAAAACATAAGGAAACCATTAGGATTGGTAGTATTGAAGTATGCTGATACTTTGGTTTTTGTAGCTAGAAGTGGTAATTTTTCTGGTGGTTGTATTTCCAGCACAGTACTTGGCACGAATTTGACGCCAACTTTAATGTCATTCGCTAAACGACGTGCGTGCTCAATTTGGCGTTTCAAGTTTTCAATATTTTCACCTAAGTCCTGTCCGATTCTTTCAACTTCAGCTTGCTGGTTACCAACCGTATCTACTAGCTCTTCCAATTTTGGTATAGCATTTTTAACACTTTCTAGTTGGCTCTTTGCTTGTGATATATCCTTTGTTGTCATATCAATATCTTTTGATATATTCTTAGCCTTTTCTAAAGCCATTGGTGTTTGCGTAACAACTGGTTTTAAAATATCTAGAACCTCCTTCATTATCTCCAAAGCGTCAGTTGCGTTTCTGTTGGAATTCTTCCAAATATCCCGTTGCAAATCAGTTGAAAGCGGTTCACGCGCAATATTAATGTCCTTCAAACGGTTTTCGGTGTTTTTATTCAATTCTGTAATATCATTAACCTTAGTGGCGGAAGCATTAAGCCTTGGTTCTAGGTCAGTTTGAACTTTTGATAATGAATCACGCGCTTTTTGTAGAAGTTCAGCAGAATCCTTATCGGCACGTCCAGCTCGATCGCCTATGCCTTCAGTGATTTCAGTTGCATTGCCTGCAGCAAACTTAGATGTTTTAGTTAAGTTCTGTGCGGACAACACTGCATCGACAATATTAGTGTACGCTGTTGCAGCCTTTATTGCTGGTTCTGCACTTGTTGTCATATCGGCATACTGTTGCGTAAGAGCCTGTGCCCTTACACTTAAGTCTGCAGCGTGTAATTCTGCTTCCTGTGTAGTATTGGAAGCTTCCATATGTTCCTTTTCCCTATCAGGCAACTCATTCTCAATATTAACGTTGATATCCTTTAAGTCCGTAAAAGCTTCATTTAAGTCACCTAATGATCTATCAATTGCCACTAATATGAGATCTCCATTTATGAGGAAGTTGCCAGCTTCTTCTATATTTTTGTCTGCTTCCTTCTGCTGATCTAGAACAGTATCGAACTTTGAATTTTCAAATGCAAGTTTGTTTTTCGCATTTTGTTTTTCGACTTCTCTAGATACATTTTGCGCCTGCAAACTCCATAAGTAGAGATCCTCTAATTTATCACTAAATTCACCAATATCATATTTTAATGAATCCAATGACTTATTTTGATTCTTAATAGGTAAGACAATTTGATCAATTTGACCAAATAGGTCCACAGATTTCGTTAACAGATTTTCATTTGGTACAAGATTTAATTTTGTTTCGTTAATGCGATTCAAAATGTTTTGGGCATTTTCCAGTGCCGCGTCAAGTTTTGTACTAGCAGCAGCTTCCAAATTGCTTGATAAGGCTTCTACTGCAGCAATAGCGCTCCTGGCTTCTTCGTTGTCTAATCTTGACCGTTCACGTAATGCAGTCACATTTGTGTACAGCACTCCAGATTTTATGCGACTGTCTAATGCATTTTCTGTATTGTGATTCACTTGTTTATTATATGCTTTTGCTTCAGATTCCAGTTCTGCAATTTTATTTCTAGCAGGTTCTAAGTTAACACTTTGTGGATCCAAGTTCTGTACATCAGGTGACAGTTTATCAGCTAAGTCGTTAAAGTAATTTAATTTCTGCGTGGTGAAGAATGCTAAAGCGACAGATTGGAATTCATCAAGTACTGGATCAATTTGATAACGTAAGCGATCGGTTACATCTAGAAGTGCATCGTGACATGAGTCACACTTTAAGCAACCTTCATCTTTAAGTAACACCCAACGGTGTGGACAACGATCACAACGATCTCCAATAACACCAGGCAAACATTCGCATTGCCCAGTAAATGGATTACAGCCAAAACCACGAGAATAGCCCTGATTACAGCGACATGGTGTGCAACCTTCTCTGGTATAGTTCCAATGATCCACAGCGCAGCGATCACATTGGCGACCTGTTACGCCAGGTTTACAGGAACATTTACCTGTATGATCATCACATTGCGTGTAATTGGAAGCAATACCACAATCACAAGCACGACATCCCATTCCCGAATCATAACCATAATGGTCAGCTTCACAGCGATCGCAACGTTCACCGATAACATGATTGTGACATTTGCAATCGCCAACAAACGGATCGCATTCCAAAGTGCCTAATTCCTCGCAATCACAACTCTGACAATTCTTCAATTTAATAGCGTCTCCGTAATAACCTGGAGCGCATAAATTGCAAGCTGTGCCTGATGTATTATTTAGACAACGCAAGCATTCTCCAGTGATAGTATCGCAGGAGCCGGGTTCGACAGGATTTATATTACCAGAGCACTCACAAGGCTTACAGTATTCACCTAACTGTTCTGGTAGACCATAAAAACCATTAGCACAAGACTCGCAGCGTGCACCTGTATAACCTGTTTTACACTCACAATGAATTTCATTACCGGATTCAGAAATTTCGCAACTAGTAGCAAAATTGTTTGCATCATAAGGCAAAGGACAAGCGCATATCATACAATCATGCGGACTTCCATTCGTTGCGTTGCCATAATAACCTTCAATACACAACTCACAATGATCACCCGTGGTTGCATGTTGACAGTTCTTACAGATGCCTGTAGCACAGTCACAAGTCTCTGCATGTCCGTTACATTCGCATGGTATACAATATCCGCCATACGGACCATCGGGATCACGATAATAGCCAGGAGCACAATCTTCACATGATAGACCGGAGTATCCTGCTGGACAATGACAATTTTCCACAGCTAAGAACTGATAGTCGGCAGTACTTTCCTCATCTTCGTCCGCCAATGTAAGATAAACATTTGACAATTGGCTAATAAGTGTCTGTTCCCAGTAATTCGAACGTATAAATATCATTTTCAAATCACGTAATGCCATCATAAAATCTGCTCTGCTTACTGATTTACCGTCTTGAGTTAAAAAGTTCGTCTCCACCATTTGCACATGATTAGTAAATACTTGATTAGAGGCAGGTTGCTCATAACTTTGATGCACTAGCATATGATCTTTGCTTAGCAATATAACATCGGGTGCTATCAATGGCTTTCCACTGAGACCTGTGGTATAATACAACGAGTAAGCCAAATCACCACCATAAGCTGAGATGTGACTATTTTGATTCATTAAGTAATCCAAAACGCCAAAATACACAACACCCTCATCATTGAAATCACGGAAGGAGAAATCAGCCTGCATTGTTGTTTCATTTACTATTAAGTCTTCTGGTGGAAAGTCCCATATTTCGAATTCAATCGATTTTTCATGGAATTGTGCAGAATTTAGTGAAACGTTCTTCAACAAACTGACATTGTATACACGCAAATACGCGCTTTCACAACGTGATGTCTTACCGAAGCAGAAGCATGTTGTGCAACCATCGGGATTAATTGCCTGTAAATTATAAGTACCCTCCATGCATTGCTCGCAATCACGGCCTACGACATTCTTCTTACAGAAACAGCTTCCATCAACTTTGTCGCAAATTTCTAACTCAGTACCAGCGGTATTACAGCTACACTGCTCGCAACGTGGAAAAGCGTAATGGCCATTGGAACAAGTGTCGCAAGAGCGACCTTCAATATGTGGGCGACATTCACACGAACCATTTAACATATTACATTGCATATTGCCATTGGCAACTCCCATATAGTTACAATCACAAGATTCACAACCAATTATTTGGTGGAAACCATATGTATTTGGCATACACATATCGCACAATTCACCCATTACATTGGGTGGACAAACACATTCGCCAGTATGTGGTTCGCACATGGCTGTGCTTGGGCAATGACAAGGCTTACAATCTGGAAAACCAAAGAAGCCTGTGCGACAAGCGCCACACTGACGTTCAATAACATTCGGCCTACACTGGCATTGGCCACCAAATGGATCGCACTCAAAGCTAGTAGAGCCAGCATAATCACAATTACATGGTAAAGCGCCACTATTGTAGTCAGCAGTTAGAGAAAATACTGCTTTCTTGCAGAATTCCGAAGCGTTATGTGTAATGTAAAAGTGATCCTGTCCGCAAAGTTTAATGAATTCTTTAGTTTGATCAAATGTTTCTTCTACCAACAAATCGTCATTATATTGATCAACCGGTACGACAACCATGTAATCCAACCAAACACCTTGAGGGCGATTATTCTGTAAATTTAATTTAAAAATAATTTCATTTAGTTTTCAAAGCATGTTTAAATAACACTCACTGTAATAGTAAACTTGAACTCGTCATCAATATCGAACCACCAGTCTTCACCATTAGGACGTATCACACCACGACATCCCGAACTTGATGGGCAATGATTGACATCGAATTTGCCATCATATTGATTTTTACCAGCTGTCAAAGTATACATGACATTATATTTGGGATGATGTGGCTGATAGTATTTGATTAAAATCACATAACGTCCAGGATCTGATACTTTGGATCTGTTAATATTTATATTAGAATATGTGCGGATTATATACCATATCATAGATTTACTTACTCAATTATGATAGTGGCTTCATTTTTACTATCCAAATGCACCAATTTAACTCGCTCATCGAGCACAGCATATGGTGGCTTATTTTCTGAGACTCGATCTTCATGATCTGTTTCGAATTCGATTTTTTTAGAGTCAGGAACTGTACGGAATTTAGGTGTAGCACATTGCTGATTATTTATGACACAAACTGTACTTGGTATAATATAATCGATGGACCACTGCTCTGCTGGTATGGCAGTAACTGAAATAATAGCGACGCGTCCAAAATCTTCAAAATCGGCCTAAGGTGATATATAAAAGTAAAAAAAAAGTTTTGTTTCAACTTAATATATATCCGTTATGTTTATATATAATTAGTTTATAAACGTATATGTGTATATACATAATATATTTATTTATATCATTTACTTCATAATGTTTAAGTTATTATGTATTAACTTACACTAACTACTACAGGTTTGCTATCATCGTCATCCAGATTAAATGTTTTTTCTCGACTGTTTTCATCAATAATCGGTGTACGACAAGAAGTTGAATACAAGCAAGGATACAATGTTGTGGTACCGTAATCCTCCTCATTTTGACCTACTCGTAGTTTTATATAGTAGGGTTCGGCATAGTTTCGTTCACTGATATAATCGATTACGAAAATATAACGTCCACTTCGTGGCACATCGATAATATAATTAAGATCGGGTTGTGTTGCGCTAATGACGGGTATATCGCCGACATGGTTAATGATAGATAAATGTTCTGGATCATTATAATGTTGTGTTGGGTTAGTGGGCTTATTATTAGAACCAATTATGAATGGAGTTGTAGCAGGTTGGAAGCTGTAAGCAATTGATTTTGATTGAATATTATTATAATATATTAATAAAAAAAAATTTATGTGACTTACTCATCAACTGAAGCATATTTGTAATGTCTGCATAGTTCCATGTTACCCAATTCGCAAGGATTGGAGATATATCTTGTTAAAATGGAGGCCTCATAATAAGCAGCTGGCAACAATACAAAATAATCTAACATGATGTTTTTATTGGTTTTTGTAGTAAAGGTGTATCGGCCTGGATCCAAAACAACAGCGGAAGGTTTATTACCCTTAATACCAGCAACTGTTACAAATTGTGGAGAGGTTGTTGGACGCAAGAGCACCTTAACACTGCATATAAAATTAATTCTAGAGTATTGAGTAATTTTTTAATAAATTTCACTTACTTTTGATCGACTTCCAATGGATTTTCAGATTGTATTAAAATATTAGCGGTAACATTTTCAGGATTTGGGTTAACATAACGTATAACAATACGATATACAGATGATTTAAATACATTTAAATCATTGCGAACTTCATTTTGTATATCATTGAAAACAGCATAACCTTTACTACTAAAATCTGGAAAGACATCTTCATCGTACTGATAACGCACTTGTGCACCAGAGGGCTGCGAACCATCCTCGTATTCATACTGGAATTGATGCAGAGTTGGGAAGTAATGCGTCGTTAATGGCTGTGTACATGCACGTCCCGTAACACGAGGATGACAAACACATTGACCGGTCATTTTGTCACATTCCGTTTTCCATGAGCCGCCAACATCGCAATTACAATCCTTACAGCCAAATAGCGAAGCACCATCCAAATCATAAGTACCATCTCTGCACTCTTTACAAGTCCGACCCTGTGTATGCGGTTTGCAGGTACATTGTCCTGACTTCGATAGACAAGTGTCCATAGCAGCAATAGTACCATCAACCCAACAATCACACACTTCGCAACCATCAGGATTACTTATATTCAAGTTCCAATAAAGAGGTTTGCAGTCATTGCATATACGTCCAGTAACTCGTTCTTTACACTGGCACAACTCACCAATAGGCACGGAGCCACAACCCGCAAACTTATCAATAACGCCAGCCGGATCACAATTACAATCTTCACAGCTTGGGAAGTTATAATAGCCTTCTTTGCAGGAGTCACAGAGTTTACCATCAAAGTTAGGCAAACACAAGCATTGGCCATCGGCATTGCACGTAACGCCCTCCGAACCATGTACATCACAATTACAAGCTAAAATAGAGAAATTTGCATTATTTATACAACTGGCTCTGTTATGTTAGTCATTATTATTCAAGAAAATATTTATTAGAAAATATTGTATTTTACTTTTCAATCATTTTTTGAAGTGTTTATTCTTACTGAGAGTCAGCTCTTATTATTAAAGCTATTAAAGTATCAGTAGTCTGTATTTCGGCTAAATTATTGCTAGAATGTACGCAATATTTAACGTACTTAAGCCATAGGTCCAAGGTAACTGTAGTTTGGGTTCTTAGCTATTCCCACATAGTACGAAATGAGCGCGCAGATAAGCTTATTAGGCTAAGTGACTCTTCCGTGGAAACTCTTATTTCAATTTCTGTCCCTGTCCGCTACAGCCGAAGGGTTTTTCGCGACAGGCAAATAGAGTGAGGGCTCATACTTCCTCTGCATCCAGGTAAAGGACTACATGGCCAATCTTTTTTAAATGTAGAACCTCTGGCTTGGCACACAAAAGCAAATCAGAAGTATCTAGGCTCATATCTGTTTTAACAGGGCACTGGGTCATAGAATAGTAAGGGGTTAAGCTTGATCTACTCTGTAGTATCTCCTGTAGCACATGTTTACCGACGCTCTAAGAAAAGATACCAGAACAGCAGTTGTATTTATGGCTTGTCCAAGACTAGGCTTAAACTTTTGGACGCTCTTTCTTTAACACAATCAGTTATATTTGCATTTATTAATGCTTTTGACTGGTTCTACCTTGATCATTCTTCTAACCATTATTACGAAGAATTTTGAAATGAAAATGGCTATTTTAGCTGATTGAGGAGAATTCGTTCCACACTCCCCTTTTAACACCTAACTAACTTCAATCATTTAATATAGTTATTTTTATTTTTGGTGGAAATGATTATATAAAAAACTTGGCATATGAAAACGTATGGCAAATATTTCCCTGACAGTTTGTATATCTCATTAATATTAAAAGAATTTTCACTCACGCAAACATTCTGGATAGCTGAAGTAACCAGCACTACAAAGTGTACACTGTTTGCCAGCAAAATTGGGCAAACAATTACATTTGCCGGTGTTGTCACAAGTGATAGCCGTACTGCCAGTGGTGGAGCAATTGCAAGCCTTACAATCTGGATAATTGAAATAGCCAGGTAAGCACTGATCACAGCGGGGACCACCGAAACCTTCGCGACATATACATTGACCATTTTCTTTATTACAAATTTCGTCCTGGGTTCCTTGTATGTCGCAATCACAATCTGTTGAAATGCAAATTAGAAGAATCATTTAAAATGAAACTAAGCATTTATTTACTTACATTGACATTTAGGATAATTGAAATAACCGTGTTTGCACCGTTCACACTGTTCGCCACCAAAACTACTTAAACACTTGCACTGACCTGTTTCCAAGTCACAGTCATTGCTAATTGAACCAATTTGGTTGCACTCACAAGCTATGAAAACATTAAATAAATTTAAAGTTAACTTTTAACAACTCTATTTAAGAAGAAGTACCTTTGCATTCAGGGAACGCATAGAAACCTTCAGCACACTGTTTGCAGTAATGCCCTGCGAAATTTACTTTACAAGGACATTCACCATTAACAGCTTCACAATGATGACCTTCAGTACCCAACAAGTAGCAATCACATTCACGACAATTTGGATAACCATAATAACCATAAGCACAGGAATCGCAATTTGGTGGTTGGAAAGCTTTACGACATTCGCAACGTCCAGTTTCTTCCTCACAATGTCCAGTGGAATAAAAGAATTCACAATTGCAAGCTACAAAAGTGATGGTTATGAAAAAAGTAAATGAAGCTCCATAAACCAAGTAACTTACGTTTACAGACATCTGTTTCATTCCAATATTTGCCACGTGGTCTATAATATTTCGGCTTACATTTATTGCAATTGATACCTTCGGTATTATGCTGGCAGTTCAAACATTTGCCACCACCATCGTAACGTCCATGTATATCCAGTGATAGTCCTTTTTTATCGATATCTTCTTCATAAACGCACTCATTTGAATGACCATGACAGTTGCAAGCTAAAACAATCAATTTAAACAAAAAAAATTAAATATTTTCTAAATATATATATAAATTATTGTAATTTTTTTAACCATGATCCTAAAAAAACAAAACTTACGTTCACATTCAAATGGACGAGCATTTGTATTTTGACGCCATTTCTTCTGCTCAAAGCCAGGACAACACTCATTACACTGTATACCGCAAGTATGATGTTGACAGCGGCAAGCCAATATACGTACAGGACTTTTATGATCTTTCACGTCGCATGTATCTGCATGACCATTGCACATACAACGACCACCAATCGAAATATCTTTGATGGAATAGAAATAACGTCGGGTCACTGTAGGGTCTTGTCTCGCTACGGACATCAAATGACCTAATAAATTTTTGGTACGCAAAAGACGTATACGCACATTGGTTGCACGCGTCCATTCTTGCAGCACAGTTGAGTTAAAATAGTTCGTAGACGATGGACGTTCGTTTAAAAGCATCACAGGAATTTCACCATTTTCCAGTGGTACAATTTTCGAATATTCGGTTGTGCAGATAACATCGTCATCACGGGTAATTGGTTTGTAAGTGTCTTTACCAAAGTAAGTTTCACAATCGGCTGGTGTATCGGAGAAATGTTGCCATGGTGTCCATGTTTTACCATAATCTGTGGATTTTTCCAAAGTCCATAAACCAGGACGTGGTGAGTTACCCATACGTATAAATAAATAAGCAACATGAAATTCCTATAAAAGAAATTAGTGTTTTATTTTTAGAAAATAATAAAATTTAAAAACTCAAAAATAATTGTTAACAAGTTATTGTAGTGGTTGAAAATAGTTCTTTAGAATTCTATATAAAATAATAAAGCTATTATATTAATCCCCCTAATATAATGCAATATTCTAATCACGCAAATTGGCTTAATTGGTGAACTCAATTATATTATTATGTTAAAGCTATTTGAGCCTTTTACTCTTTCTTAGTTCGAGGTATTTTCAAAACCCCTCCTTATGTCTTGACTAGATTATTGTTTATCACTACATCAGACTAAGCAATAATTAACCGCAGATCTGCATACCTCCCCGAGGAGCCTTAAGCTTTTGTACATCAATTTTTAATCTATTTTTCGGTAAGTGAAATCTAGCAAAACTCAACGCGTAAGACTTTAAACCACTAAAACAACAAATTCTAACCGTTGAATAGTTAGGGTTAGAGTGCTTAGAACCCATTCCAGTAATCAAACACAAAAATAGTAGTAAATAGCTTAATATATAGATATTCAAATTTATCTAAGCTTATGTTAGGTAAAGTAGAGAGAAGCAGGAATCGTCTTCAATTAGCTTTAAAGTCTTTTTAATTTCACAATTTCTCGCATTGGTGGGTAGAATAATGGTTACGCTAGAACCAACCAGACGCATGAATAAAATTGAGAATCTGGGCAATGCTAATGCTGAATATATCACCGAGTGAGTTGAAGTGTGGAGCATTCAATAGCTTAAACCTGGTTTTTAAACAAGTATTGTTAGTTTATAGTAATTTTTAAAAAAATTTCAGTTTCGAAATACGATCTTGCGATGTATGAAACAATTTTTCTACGATCTCCAAGCCAAAAAGTAATGCATATTTTTAGGACACTGTAGAATTGTACAGTACAAATATATTTTATAACCGTAGAAACAAATTTGTTTGATTTTAAAATTTAGATATAAATTTTTAAATTTTAAATATACATTTTTTAAATTTGAATATAAATTTTTAAAACATACGTTAAAAAATGTTGACTACAAATATATTCTGTAAATCGATAACAACAGTTATCCGGTAATACAGTTAGTACACTTGACTCCAGTGGTTCATATAGAAACATAAAATAATTTAATAATAATACTTGTATGCAATTATTGTAAGTATTTGATTTCAGTTCTGTGAAGTCATTATTATAATAACTATAATATAATAAAAAATATAATAATTTGATATAATATACTATACTATACATTATGTAGGCTGTTCTTTTTTTTCTTACTGGGATTGAATGGCATCCTTATGTTAATTTCTTTAATAAAAAGTGAATGGAAACTTAAAGAAGAGACGATATAAGAATTTAACATATCTTGAAAGAATAAAAATATAAACTAAAAGACACATAGAATAAATCTATTATAAAACAACAATCCGATACAAAATTGGTCCGAATAATTATGTTAGTTATTATTGACATTCATTCAGACTGATGGACTTTGCTAAAACGATTCTTAGCGTCATCTTGATAAAAATATTAAGAACAAATATTATCAGAATTAACTATTTAGTATAAATGGACCCAAATCTAAGATAATGTGTAACTAAAATGATATCCTCTCTCTGTTACTTATTAAAACAAATATTTATTTGTTTTTTGTGTAATTGCAATGACAATAAATTAAACTTCGAACACTACATCTCATGCCCCCAACTAATCAAATAAAAACCCCATCATATTATTTACATTTTGCAAAATATCTTTGGATATCGAAAAATTTGAACACGATATGACTGTAATTATTTTGAAGATTTCAGTGTTTCTTATGATAGTATTGAAAGCTTTAAGCACTGCTGGGAAGAGTATTAAATTACAAAAAGGGCTTATTGAAAAAAAAAGTATAAATTGAAAAAATTTTATGATTGTCGTTGTTTACAAGCAATTTACAAGCACTTTGCACTTTAAAAGTGGAATAAACTGTCTGGTATCAACTTACTGATTTCAACAAATCCAACAACAATTGGATATACACACGGTTATTGAGGATAATATTGAGGATATTGAGAATTCAAGAATTCTCTGGATTTTTAGTCACAAGAAAATATCAGACAAGACTGAGTAAGGCGTAGTAAAGCGCATATCCGTCAGGATAGTCCATCAGGATAGTCCGTCAGGATAGTCCGTCAAGATACCTTCGGAACACATTCAGAGTATTTGAGTATGCTACTAATATCATCCAAATATATTTTAAAATCTTTCTTGGCAAATTAATTAAATATAATTTAGGAAAAAATAACAGCATAAAATCAACTAGATTGCTTTTGGCAGCAATTTGATCTATTCAGGGAATATTGAATATACAAAAATAAAAGCTTATAGCAAAATTTCAAACACAACGCTGTATTTCAGTTGAAAGAAATATAATGTTATGATAGGATTATAAGATCAATTTATAGTGATTCAGTTAATGTAAAATGAATCTCAAGTACCATTTTTTCTTTTAAATTGAAAGATGTATTGTAATAAGTTGCTGTACCTATATACATATATATACTACTACATTAAGCCAAATCAAAATCTTGCATATTAAATACTATAAAAAAATTTATTCTTATTTAATATAATAATAAATATTCATAACTTAAAAAATTTTATTAGAATTATAAATTTTTTATTAATTTTTAATAATGACCCCTTACTTAAATCAATAGATTTTGGTTACAGAAGGGTTAATATTTCAATAAATTACAATAGTTTAAGCTTCTGCTCACAAAAGTATAAACTTATATGAAAAATACTAAAATAAGTGAGTAAATCCTAATTTTATTTTTAATTAAAAAAAATTGGGCAAAAATAAAATAAAACTGATGACATTAGTTCATAGCTTTAAGTAAATAATAAGGAATGGATAATTATTGTCTATTTTTATGTTATAAATAAAGTAAAGTAACACTCCTACTAATAAATGTATTGTCATTATAAATTTACATAGTTTTTCAAAAAATGTTATTTAAATAATAACAAAATATAGCAGATCGTTCATTGTACTAAAGCGATTTAGTTTATAATTTTGCGAAGTCTATATATACTACATATATACTACATAATTATCTTTATTAAAGTAACAAACCGAAGTTCGAGAAAATCAACTGATCTGATTTTTTAAATATTAAATTTTAAATATTATTTATATATTTTAAATATTTAATATTAAAATCTTAAGTATTTGAGAGAGAGAGGTTTCGAAAAGTAATGAACTACAATAACTTTAGTAGTGAAATAAGTATTAAATACATAAGTCTTAAGTATTAAAATTTAAAGAAACTAAATCGCAGTTCCTTACTCAAAATTGTCAGAAAACTATTGAAATAACATATATCATTTTGTTATATATACATATATATTTTCATAAATAAAAAATATATAAAATCAATATCCTCGAATATCAGTCACTTGCATTTAAATAAGTACTAGTACTAAATAAGTATGGTATAAACTCCATATACCATAGACCGGATCTAAACTATTTTGATATTAAAATAAAATGTATAAATTTATAATTATAAAGATAAAATTTATTTGAAATGTGCTCACAAAGCTATATTTGATAAATTGTGTAAATTGTATATATACATACATTGTACATACATACATATACATACATAAAAACATGTATAAATAAACTAAAAAATTATTCTTATGACATTACATTAAGAATGCATTATTTTGAATAGAAACACGCAAATATCAATTTACAAGTATTTTTGCGATAAACTATTTTCTATATATGTATATAGTATATCATTGAGTACCAAGTATCTTAACACATAAAGGCACATAAAAAAATAAAAATATAAACTGTAATTACATTTAGTAAAATTCTCAACACTCAAGTTCCGAAACTGAAACCCATTTTGATAAGCACTAAACAGCAATTTTTAGTGCATGAGCTAATCCACATGAAATTTGATGAGAAAGATCAGCACATTCTGAATATGTGTTGATGAGCGAATATTAAATGAATTGCTCAAAAATTTATACTTCACAATTAAATTTGTTAAATGAACACATCAAGACATTTCTCACATTGCATTAATAATAAACTGAAAAACTACATCGTTTCCTTTGGCCGCACATAAGAAAAGATGAAAGAAACTGTACTGTACAAAGAAGCAAAAATCGGCCATAGCGATAATGGCCCTCACTGTTTCCGTCCGTTCTTGATAAAAAATTATGAAAAAAAATTTTATAATATCATATGCTTTCGTTATGAATGGTTAAATTATATTAACTACTATAGTATTATTTAATTAATTAATTGCTTTTTAAAATAAAAAAAAATTTTAGTTAAAAGATTAATTAGAAATTGTTGTAAAAATTAGAACAGAAGTACAATACTAAGCAGATATTTTGTATTATCCGCCAAAAATAATGTAGCATAAGCTTTGTGAACTCTCAAGTGTAATTTTCTGTCAACCAAATATCAAACGAACAAACATTGGTACAATATCAATCTACCTATTAATTTTCGGAAGCAGGGATTAATGAGACAAGTATCTAAATTATTGGTAAAATAACTAAAATATTGGTAATACCACTAAAACAAGTCCTTTATATTATAATAGACACATTTATTCCTACCAAAATACTTTTAGTATAATATTATAATAATAAATTACAATAAATATTATAATATACTTAATATTATATCACATGACTTTAGAAATATATCGAAGACAGAATTTTAACTGTCCCAACTTTCTACTGGATGTTTCCATTATTAGCTGCAGTGATATACAGATATCAAGAACCTAATTTAAAATTTTGCCTAGTCAAATATTGGAATTGGGACCAAACATATAATACAACAATGTACAACCCATTCTGAACACAATTGCTTCCACAAAGTTAATGACATTCTATTTAAATCTACATAATTTAATTATTTAAAGCAAATATAACATAATAACAAATTTCACCTATCCTGTAATAATATATATAAATTGAACACTGCAGAAAGAAATAATGTTAAATGCTCAAACACTTACATACGTGGTCTTAAGACACTTAAGAGGGGTCGCCTATCTGATTATATTTAACTTGGGAAATGTCAACGCAATTCTTGTCATTCTTAATCTAAATTGTCGCTTATCCTCAACGTGGCATCCCTGGATAATTATCTAGTACCCGCTGGCTAATGAACTAATAGTGCGTATAGCGAGTTGTATCTCTAGGGCTTTTAATTTGGGTTGCCTATAGTGGTGTTCTGGTGTCTTTTCTACGAGCGTCTTTAAACATGTAGTATAGGGAATACTATGTGGTAGACCGAGCTTGGTCTCATGCTAACCTACAGTATAGACTCCTATTAAAACAGATATTAACCTAGACACTTTTGATTTGTTTCTGTGTACCAAGTCAAAGTAAAATAGACAAGTCACCCTTTACCTGACTAGTAAAAACGTATGAGCCCAGAAAACCATGGTAGGTACTATTGTAGATATACAAATATATTAAGCAATGAAATTATTGTATAACACGATATTTACTTGCCTTTGTGAATGTAATAATGTAACGACTTAGACTTACACCTACAGGAATGCAACAATTACTTCAACTGCTAATATTTAGAATTAAACAAGCAACCATATTAGTATTTTATCACGCTTCTTAAGACCTGCTTTTAAATTTTAAAAATGATTACAATTTACACAGAACTTTTTCCTTTTAAGTCTTCGAGTACATCTCACAGATCTGTTGTATATTTAAAATAATCATTGTTGAAGTATTTATTGTTAATCCTGACTAATATTGTCCTAATCAAATAATAATAAGATTATTGGTGTATTAATAAGAGGGATCTCTTATTCATTCCGTGTTTTCATAATGTTTTTTTTTATTTTATTTTTTTTCTTGATTGAATAATATTAAACCATTTTACTTTCCGAAATACTTCCACGACGACAACGCTTTCAATTCGGGTCACATATTTAAGAATACGTTACTATTAAGATAAGAAAACTTCGACATATATATTCTTTTACAGACAGATTCTAATGTAATATATTAATATAAATATATTTTATGTATACATATATATATATACATGCATATATTCACACAAGGTGTTTCTTAACAAAAATTTAGCAGATATGTTCTTGTTCCAAGAAACAAAAAGTAAATCGTCTGTTAGAACTGATTCATTGCTCTATTAAGAGAGATATAAAGTATGAAAGAAAAATGAAGACAAATATCTCATTTGATTTTTCGCTTTCTTGAATAATACATATTATTTGAAAAAACACCCTGTTTAAACATATATATGTAGACATATTTGATATTAAAATATACATTTTACTTTGCACTACAGAAATATTCTTATCAAGAAGCACGCGTTTCCTCAAGCATATACTTATGCATTTATACAAATATGGATTTGTATCTATACAAAGTATATTATGTATGAACACAAATACATAAACTTACTCTAGACTATATTTTCTTAAATTTTGTTTTCCTATATAAAGAATCTTATCTTCTCTAGAATGTGTTTCTAAGGCTAATAAACTTTTTACAAGATGTGGGCATGTACCATCAAATTATTTCTAAAAGTATTATTTTTAACTAAAATATCAAAATATATAATTTGAAAGACCTACGATAACCTGTAACCCAAAGACTTTAAGTTTTAATCATATTTGTGGAGCATTTATTGATAGGAATATGTACATATGATGGGTTAATAACATATGTATTATATATATATTTTAAATGGTGAATAAAAATTATATACCATGAAATATAATTATTATTTTATATATATTAAAAAGTAATATGAAACCCTGCTTAAAAGCAAAAACTTGATTCGAACACCTTGCCCAAGTAAGCATTTTACTTCGAAGACTTTTACTTAAAAGTGTTGAACGTGCAAATGGGAGCAAAGTCAATGTATCTTATGTCAACCGCAGACATATGACGCGGCAAACGTTGGCAGTTCATCAATTTGAACCTTTTTTCCATTATAAACAGTTTCTTTTTAATTCCTTTTATTTTATTTTATTTCATTTTTATTTTTTTCGTTTATTTCACATTTTTCAGTTTTCAGTTTTATGTATCTTTCGGGTCTATCGTTGCATTCACATGTGTGATGTGTGTACAAAATAAATTAAGGAGAAAATTAACAACAAAAATTGTAATACAAACTAAAAAAAGGCAGATAAGATTGCTGCATTTTTTTAAGAACCGGACTAATTTTTATGATGTCGTTGGACGAGGTTGCCTGAAGTTTATGTGCATTCGTTATTCAACATACAGCATAGAATATGATGCCCCATACAAACTTATACCACATGTATCCGTATTTTAGAGATTCATTCATACAATCGAATAAAACATTTCAAACATAAACAACAGTAGAAGATATGCACACAGCATAAGAATAAATAAGATAAGATTTTGAAACCAATACACTAATAGATACTTTTTATTGTATCTTATAAATGCATTGTTTAAAAAAATTTTCAATTGTTATACAATTTTTTTCTCTTTTGCTTACCTGTCCGAAATCAATTGTCAAGTTTACTTCATTGAATTTCATACCACGAGATAATGGAGGCGATTGCCACCAGGCCTCAGTACCGTCAATAGCAAACTCTGGTGCATGATTCTTTTCGGGCACATTTGGATCACAATAATCGCAAACCTAGAAAAGCAAGAGATGAATTAATAAATTTTTGTTTTTGTATATATAAAAAAACATATATTCAAGAAATATATATCAACATATATCTATACATAAAGATTTTCATGGTAACATAATTATATTAAATAATATTTATTAGATACGGCAATTGCACATAGCAAACCTATAAGGTCTATATGTTGTGCTTGGAAAGTATCTATTAAACTAATATAAATATATATAATAATATAGTAATTCACATATAATAAGGTATAAATTAAAAGTATCTGAAATATTATATATCACAACCATGAAATGTTAATAAATTATATTAACACTTTTATAACACATTAAAATTAAAATTATGAAAATTAATTTCATTTTCATTAAAATGAAAATTAATAAAATAAACATAAAATAAATATGAATAAATATATATAAATTAATATAATTAAACATAAATATTAAAAGTTTAAAAGTATATAAAAGTACATATTAAAAGTACATAAAAGTTTAATTTTATTTTACAGCCATCAAATTAATTAATACTTATAACGAAAGTACATAAGTACATATATAGATAATAATATATCCGTGTTTAGCTTATAAAAAACTTTGTATTTAAGAAACGGGTTCATAAGATAAATTCCTGCGAGCGATCTAGAATGTTTTAGTCTTATAGCCATCATGTTTACCCAAAGTAATTCATTTCGGAGATAATAAGTATTATATTATAATTATTTTTTGAGGCTGTAATTTTTTGGTCTATTCAAGAACTTTTTAATGTATAACCTACCCGTTAATACTTATAAAACGTTCATTATAATAGACAACTTAAAAAAATACTCGAATGAGTGTTAGAAGCATCAGCTTCCACTAAATGCTGTATAGAATCATATCGAAAGGAACTATAATTCTTAAATCTATTTAATAATTCTTTAAGTACTGTATAATATTTAACCTACCGATGTTGTGTTTATAAAATTTTGTTTACAAGAAAGAGTTTAATAACGAGAAATATTTTAATGTTAGAATCAACAACATGTCTACCCGAAATACTCTATTTGAGAGACTGTGATATTTATAGTGAAGTCTGTAGCAATAGATCTTTAAAACTACATTTCAAATAATAAATTATTTTTGTCTTACAACTAATCCATTTCGAAAAGAAAAGGGTATAATAATGTGAGAATTTTTAAGTCCTAAATAATTTTTTATATTTAATCAATCAATTAAATACAATCAATCATTAGATAAAATCTTTAGCGGTTTTTGAAAACATCTATTTGTTTAATTGTATGTATATAATTTTCGGACAGATCTTTCTTCTCCTAGAAAATTCACTACATAACTGGTCGATCAATTACTATTTACACTTTGAATTGCTTACCCATTTAACATATTCTATGGAGCTAGCTCTTAGTAACTACTATCTGCTTGCAGACCGAACAAGTGATGCTTAGGACAAAGACATTTACTCCAAGAAAATTTATTTTGTCTATATGTAATATTAAAACTATAGGTATCAGGGGATAATATACAAACAGAATCTACGCTTAATAAATTGTATTTTAATTCTAATTTAGAATCGTAAAGAACATTTGTTTACTCCTTTAATTGAATTTCTATTCAGTAATCCTATATTTGAAGATATATATTAGTTTACAATAAATTTGTTCCTAAATTAAGAAATAATTCACAAATTAGAAATATTCAGATATGTATATTTCTTTTTTTAAATGTATTAAGAAGTATTCCGTATCCCCTTTTTAATTTAACTATGACTATGGTAAAGAATATATGATAATTATATGCTTTAAATCATTTCTTATCTGTTCGAAATAAGACCAAGTCATATAAATGTTGATCTTTCAAAACATTTGTGGGAAGTGAGCCCTTAGTCAACTTAGATTGAGATAAGCAGAAAGCAATTCTATACAATGTTCGCATGTGTTTGAAATAATATTGAGTAAAATAATTTAAAATTATGTTAAAGAAAAAATTTTTAAAATTTTAGTTTATTAAAATTTATTTATTAATATTTTTTAATCAAATAAATTTTTTTTCAAATAACTATTTCTATATTTTATATATATTATATTAAAAATTATATTACAAATTATTTTAAGTGTTTTAAAATAGCAGAAGAAGGTTATTGTCTAAAGTATTAAGATATTTGTTGTACAGATAATGTGAATTATATATATACCTATACATATTTGTCAAATATAAATCGATATAACATATAATGTTATATAAGATATATATATTTATAAATATATGTATATTAATTGCCATTTATTGTCGTTGAAGCCATTAGCAGTATCATTAGAAATCATTAGTGAGTAGTCAATAAATATCATATGATGAAATGTTTTTGATGTAATAATAATTATCTCTCAAATTAGATACCTCGGGTAGTCATGTTGGTGCCTTAAGACTTAAATATTCTAGATTACTCACAGAAATTTTTTTTTGTAAATCTGGTTCTTTAAATGAAAGTTCCTCATAAGCAAAAGAGGGATATATAAGGGATGGAAAATATAATTTTATTTATTAGGAAAAAGTGTGAACTAACAATTATTAAATAAAGTTTGTATAAAAAAAACTTAACTGCACTAACTATTTAACCATGAAAAAAAATTCTTAAACCGTTTTTAAAATTGGATTAAAAATAATTATAAAAATAATAAAACAAAATAAATAAATATTTTTTGTATAATAATAATAAATAAATAAAAAAAGATAATATGACTAATAAATTATAAAAATTACAATTTAAAAAATCAAAACCAAACCGGAATTTGTGTTTATTTAAAAAAATTAATTTTGCTTAAATCTTTGATAAGATTTCGAATACAATCATTTTAAACAAATCAAATATTTGACAGTTCATCCCAATTTAGTATAATTTTGATATAGGATCATGTGCTAAAATAACCTATTTTTGTATATGTATAAGCAAATAAAAAAAATGATTTTTTCAAAAATAAAATATACAAAGTTCAGTTTTTTGATTTAAAAAAAAATCTAAGCCATGTGCGCTGCATATGCTACATACGAAAGGCTATAATTTTCGTTGTTTGATCAATTAAAATGTGTGCGTTCTCAGGGGCGTAGTAGATTAATAAATAAAGAAAATTTGAAAAGAGAAGGGAATTCGAAGAATTTATAACCAATCAATGTGATTAAATTGAAAAAAATAAATAATATTTTTTTTTTATATTTAATTTGCGGTTTTTCATTAAAGACGCAACATTGCGGTTGTTCCCTGTAATCATACATGGAAGCCTAAATTGAAAAAATATTTCTTTTTAAAAAATTAAAACACAAAAAATAAATTTTTTTAGTTAATTTATTCTTGATGCATTGAGTTCTACTTTTAAAAATATTACGTCATATTATAAGTTCGTAGGATGATCTAAACATATATCACTACCTATGAATCTAGAAACTAGTAACCTTTCAAGGATATGTGTCAAAATCTTATAACAGTTTAACGCTTAATTGATGAGTGATAACAATTAATCTAGATAGAATCTAGATGTAATATTATAAAAAAATTTTTTTTTAATCGAAAATTTATCCTAGGTATTTCGAGATCGCACGGTCTCGATAGTTATTCATCGATAGTCTTGAGAAATTGCGAATACAACAATACTAAATGAAGAAATAAAAGGCGATCTTGCACCAAAAAACTTAACTACATCACTAATCCATGAATTACTATTTGCACTTTGAATTACCATATTCTATGGATCTAGCTCTCAGTAACTATTATCTGTTTGCAGACCAAAAAAGTAATGCTTAGGGAAAGAAATTTGCTCTAATAAAACAATAATTACCGGAACGAAAACCTATAATTTATTATACATCGATATAAATCTCGATATATTAAAAGGACGTTGTTATAAATATATATCTTTTAGATTATTAATTGAACTTTTTATTGCTTGCCCATGAAAGATATTCTATGAATCTAACTGTCAGTAACTTCTCTCTGTTTTCAGACCGCAATAATAGTATTTAAGAAGGAGAATTAGCTCCAATGACTAATGAAACGGTGAAGAACTCCGTTTAAAATAATTCATTGTGCAAAAAATATATTAAAATATAAAGATTCTTTCGAAAAAAATATTAACTAGAATTAGATTTAATTTGATCGTATCATTAAGCTATATCATTAAGTATATTTTTTTAAGTTAGTGGAAAGAGTTTTTAAGATTTGCTAGAAGTAAACCTAGAATTTCAATTTTTCAATTATGAAATATAGAATAGTATATCAAATATATTTATATATGTGATTTATATTATATGATCTATAGTTACGCAATTGGTAATCGAGTAATGCAATAAAGATATTAATACATTAAGTCGAAATGTCTATTTTTTTTATTGCCACTCTGTTAATATGTTAATCGGTTACCGAGCTCTTTACCCGCGATCGTGTATACCACTTATATGCATTACCAATTTATTTTAGTATTTTTAATAGGTGTCCAATTTTAGAAAACATTTCTAGCACAGCTCATTCATTAAATACTAAAATTCTTTCAAAGGAAAAAATAAATTAATTAAACAAATATAGTTTTCAGTGGTTCAGATTTTTTTTTTTTTTTTTGAAAATTATGTATTAAAAAATATATATTGATATATTCTTCTTGTAAATTTTATAAAAACATATTTTTTGAGTAATGTTTATTATTTTCCTTAGTACACACATTATTGGTCATTGCTGTGGTGTATATTATGTGTTATTTCAGTGAGAGATTAGTTTTCAATAGAATCTTGAGTTTGGTGTAATCTTTTTTATTTTCATTTGCCCATTGTGGAGCATAGTTGTAGGGTAAATTGTGTGTTAATACAGTAAGAGAGATTGCTTTTCAGTGACATTATTGACTTTCCTGTATAACAAATGAGTAGTCAATGACAGAATCTTATCGTTCGTTATATTTAACATTCATTGAATTTGGTATTCAATATATTAGATGTCTTATGTTTATAAATATATATATATATATATTTATATTATATATTATATCAATTGTTATATTTATCTTTAGTGGAGGCCCTACACCCCACTAGGAGCGAAGGACAATAGTAAAGTATGGTAGTATATATAGGTGTCCAATTTTAGAAAACATATCTAGCACATATCTATATAAAGTAGTATAGAAAAGTAGTAGGTAAGTATATCTAAATGATATTTTACAATTTTTCTGAGCATTTTGATTACTAAATACGAAATTATATTAATAATATATTGCAAATATGTCTCTGTATAGAACTATAGGAATCTGGAAATAATATATATTTAAAACTGAGTTTTTATTGTTTAATAAAAATTGTTTATTAATTAAAAATTGTTGTAGCTCAAATGATGTAATTTCCATTTAATTGCAGTAATAAGAATAGAATAGACTGCAGTAATAGAATTTTTTCTACCTACGCTCCTGTCATTTTTAATTGTATAAAAATTTTCTATGCATTAAATTGCTTACACAAACAAACTCTACTTGAAGCAATTTTTGTTCATAGTTAAAAAAAATAAACTAACAAAATCAACAAAAAAAATATAAATAAAAAAATAATAAAATATATATGCAAACAGAAAAATTATTTGGATAAATTTACACAAACAGAAAAAATATCTTAAAATATTTGAATGAGATAAAAATGAGCTCATATGCCTTATTTGAAGTAAAATTTTAAATAATAAAATTTTAAAATAAAATAAAAATTTTTATGAAAATTATTTTTTATGGTAAAAGAAATGAAATTACATTTAAACATATTTCATATATTTTATTATATTTTATTTTTCATAGTTAATAAAAAAAAACGACTGAAAGGTAAGAGATAACATATACATAATAGAAAAATTTAATAAATAATACATAAAACTTGAAATAAAATATAATTTAAATTTTTATAACTAATACTTTATAATAATTCAATTATAAAATTAAATAAAATTAATTATTTAATTAAACATAAATAAAAATTTTTAAATAAATCATAAAATTCATTAAAATTAACAAATAATAAAAATAAATAATTTTTTTTTACTTGTAAATTTATTTAAAAATGAATATCTCCAAAACTAATAAATTTTTCCTTACTTGTCCTTGAATGACAGAATAATCGATGTGATCATTTTCTGTATTCGCTCCGACTAATTTACAATACAACTCCGGTCCATCAGTATCCGTACCGCAAGTGGCGGATGCATATATTTTTCGGCCAGTAGCCAAATTAAAATATGGCGGCGTTAGCTCAGCATTTGTAATCGTTATGCCGCACGCAATTAACAGGCAACAAAGTGCCACACCCACATCATACAAACGCCACATTGGCGCTGTTTTTATTGTGAAATTTCTTTTAAAGATTTTTAATTTTATTAATTATTTTTTGTTTATCCTTAAAAAGGATATTTTCATAATTATCCTTACACTGCACTTCACTTCAATATTAATTATATTTTCACTTTATCTTTCTTTCACTTTAATCCTTTTCTTTTCACTTTACCGAACTTCTTATTTGACCATCCACACTGGATGGCTCCCGACGAGCAACTGATTTTGAATTCTAAAGAAATTTTCCTTTTCACTTCGTGTTTATTAAAATTTGTTCAATATTTCATTTCTTCAATACTGCAACGATCGTACAACGCCGCTTCGCTGTCCACTTCTGCGTTGACGTTGAGGCTTGCGCCAACGTCTTGTTTTTGTTTTCTGCTTTGAATTTTGTTTATGCCGGCAAATATTTTAATTGAATTCTCTTTGAGTTTGTTTACATTTTTTATATATTTGCGGCTTATTGCACTTTGTTTTTGTTTTGGTTATACTCTTTCATTTATTTTTTGTTTTCTTGCTTTTATTTCTCGTTGAACACATGGTTGTCATGATTTCATGATTCAATGTGTATTTTTGTATTGCGTACGTACGTACGTTGAGAGCATTTTAATTAGGAATTGATATTGACTTAATGAAGCAATATTTTTCTTTGTTTTTCTTTCATTTTCTTCCAATATTCGTAATAAAAATGCTTCACACTGAGAACTAAGATATAAAAGAAATTAAAAGCAAGTATTTAGTTAATTTCGTTTATATGATGATTAAGTTGAATTATGTGTTTTTATATGGATATGAATATCAACGTCATTATTACTTGCATTTATAATTAATCTATTTTAACAACGTTAAGTCTATTCACACGGTTACAGTTAAAGTTCATTATTGTAGCAATAATAAAATAGGTCCGAAAAAGTGACCTATTTAAAAAAAACTATTTTATGGCATGACGGCTAGCCCGGTAAGCTCGCCAGTATTGGGTTCCTACTACTAGCTATACTGCTGACTCACAAAAAGAATAATCGTGCCGTTTTTCACTTAGATTTATTCAAAAATAGAAAATATATACCTGCACGGTGGAGCACTGCCACCGCTGATATTCATGATGAATGACCAGGGCTTTGTTAAATTTGATTTTAAGATACTCCTGATTTTAAGATATGTATTTATATATTTTATGCTTAAATTGTTATGTACTATTCTTCAATGTACATATACATTCCCATATGATAAATAAATAAATAACTGCTCATCTGATAATTGCTATTGTCTATATGTTTATGGGTTTCAATTCTATCTACAAAAGTCAGTTTTAGGAGTTCCTTAATAATTTGACTATGCGCTGCGACTATGAAATAATATAGTTAATATAATATAGTATAATATAGTTAGTATAGTGAATAATGTAGTTACTATGCATAATAGTTACTATGGTTACTAGCACATCTGAATACTCCAAATGATCTGAATCTTCTTTGCAGAAACAGTACGGATTACAAATAAAAGTAATAAGTTAGGCATGATATATATCAGATGTTTATTTTTTTTATAAAAATTTACTTTTTGTTTACGAATCCATGTTCCACAGTACATAAAAAAGTCATATATACCCTATCTTAGTTTCCATTAAATACGTTCTACTTATTTTTGCACATACATATATTTCACATTGAACCAGAAGATGAACCCAATCAATTGCTATCTTAACACATTGAGAATATTTCCCATGTTTCCATGTTCTTTGACTCTAACATCGTTTGATAAAACACAGCTAATAAGAAATATACTAAAAATTAATATAATTCTTTTACAAAATACTAAAACATTTTGTCACGAGTACTAAGATCTATGTTACTAAACTGCTCATCAAAGACCAAGTGCCGGTCATTATATCCATATATTTTGTGTGAACAGATGATGTGGTGTGTTCAAACATTTGCAAAAAATCAAATAATGCAAGAATTGTGAAAATACTCAACTTACTATTATCTTATTATATTCTTTGTACTTGCATAAGGATGCCCATTTGGTAATTTTAAAAGTAAACGTAAATAAAACACACTTGTGACAGAGTTTTCAATCAAATTTCTATTTCAATACGAGTGTGTTGTTTGAACCTTTGCCATTAGATACGAAAACACATCGCCAATGTCAATCTTACAGTTCTGAAACGTTTTAAACTCATATTATACATCGGCTCCTACCTGACATAACTTGGACATAACTTGACCAATAAGTTGGAAGACAACCATTTTCTTAATCCTATAAAAAAGAAAAAAGTTCACTAGTGATAAATCAGGTGATCCAATTGACATGACTAAAACTAGAAATTACACGCACAACAAAGCCAAAACACGGCATGTGACGGGACGATGCCACAAGTCGTTATTCCCGTTAAAATTATTTATCTTCCATATTCATATTTTCAGCTTCACGTCAAAAAAAATCGGTAATCGTATAGCTTTAACCACTGTTTGAGTCACAAATAAGGAATATGAGATTTTAGCTACTTTCCTTCTCATTAGTTCTTCTCCTGATAAAGTGAATTGAAAGTGAAAGTTAAAAGTGAACCTGTTTATCCTTATTCTGTACGAACTATTTATCCTGCTTCATTTTATCTTTTATAATTACTTCTATTGATTTATCACACTTTCAAACCAAGTTACTTTTTGTAAATACAATGGACTTTCTAAAGTTTGTAATGGATTTTCATTACCCAAATACTACAGTATTGTTTGATGACCTATCCATCAAACAAACAATGTACCTCATTATTAAAGTATATTCAATCGTTATTATTTTTGTTGTGAGATAACACAATTTTACCACGTTCAGTAGTTATAAAACGATCTATATTGTAACATGGCAATCCTCGAATTGAAAACTTTGATTGACAGTTTTAATTGACTTATGTCAATAAAACAGTGCTGTTAATTCTAAACCACGAAATGCAAACCCCTTTATAAGATAAAATAATCTTAATAGTTAATAATATTAAAAAATTAGTTAGCAAAGTCTATAGGATATAGACTTTACATATACACTTTACATATAGTATATAGGATATTAAAACTTAAAGTGTGTCATCATATTAATATTAATTATTTATTTAAAGGCGTCAATCACTTTATTGTCAATAAAAGCAGCTTTACATAGAAAGTAATTAGATATCACTTAGATAATCCAAATTCTCTGATCCAACTTCTTTAACTATTCACATATTGTTCCTAACAACATTCAAATATCAGAAGCATACTTTTAGAAAGTTGTTATAAATAGTAAAATTGTTTGTGTAAATTAACGAGCATACTTTTGAACAGCTATAGGCTACAAATAATAGACATATAAATTAATTAAATTGCTTAATTTTTTATTAAATTTTATCTTTATTTCGTCATATTGGCTGACTTTTACGAAATCAATATGATATTAAATTATCTATATATTGTCAAAAAAAACAGCAAGACCACCAAAATTAACAAAGAAAAAATCAGAAAAAATTCTTAATCATAATTTTATCAGAGGACTTATTGGGGTTATAGCGCAAGTTCATGAGGTGCGGCGATGTTATTGTGTCCCCTTGCCAGCATAACCAATTTAAATATCGATACGTTAGTAAACCTTCGTCGATCTCTTGGTCACGGTCAACAAGAGAGGGTGAATGACGGTCTACAAGAGTGACTGGTTTGTGTGAATCTTTAGAACACAGCATAAAAGAACAGAAATCTTAATGAAACTGCTTTCACATAATCGATTAGGATTGCTGCAGTTGTAGTATCTGTATATGAAATGCGATCACGTTGCCTTTCACCCTGGGTAACGTAAATAACCTACAAAGAAATATAGTAGCCAACTTACATATGTAGATCTCAAGAACACGGATTTAAGTACCCTAATAAATCAATAGCTAAGACAGGGCTGTCCTAACCAGATAAGATCGCGGACTGATATAAATCACTGAATGGGTTGGAGAGCCGCACAAATAAATACATACGTTCATAATTTTTCCAGAGAAAAATAAAAATACGGCAATGATGATAAATTTAATTTTATTAATTCTTTATTAATTTATCTATTAAAATTCTATCACTATCAGCATTATAAATATTAATTAATTCTATACGAAAAATATTTTATTTTTAATGTAATATTAAAATCATGTTGAAATATATGTTTGTATTTCTCAATTAAATAAATTAACGTAAAGTGTAATAAATTATATAAAACATTTTCATTTATATATATAAAACATTTATTCATTTATTTGGCATGTCATAAAAATAAATTAATGTTATGTCATTCCTTAGACAGCCCTGTTCTAAGAAATCTTCGTCGATCTGTAGGTTACGAACTACGACATGAGGAGCTTCTATTGAACCAATTTGTCATGATCGATGAACTGAATTTGAAATGAATGAATTGAGGCCATAAGTTCACTGGCAACAAAAAACTTGGTTAATAAATTTGAAGTATATTCACGAAATTATATAAAATGTGCTCTTGACTATAGAGTAAAACAGTTTGGCTGTGGTAGGGTCGACAAGCCACTAAGAGAAGAATAACACAGTATATAGAGCAAGGTTTGACCATTAATCAATGCGATCTACAAAATCAATTGATGCCCATAACTATGATGAATTTATAAATAGTACTTTGCCACGCATTTACTTAATAATACGCAAACATTCAATTACCTCTACTCTACCATCAAACAACTACTAATTTCAAACTGTCCTTATTTTTTTTTTAATTCAAAACTCCTAATAAAATTAATCAAAAATGTAACTATCCACTACAAAATTTTGAAACATTGAATCTAGTATCCGTAACCAAAGTTTAAAGCTTAAATTATAAAAAATTATTAGTGAACTAATTTAAAATTTATGATGATCGTAAAAATATGAAATTGAAAGAAACATGTAATGAAGAACTTCTCAAGCACGGCAAACCCATAAATTAAATTTAAAAATTTTCATTTACACAAGAAAAAATTACAATACTTCATTAATGAAACTTAAAAGAAAATGATTAACTAAAA